TTTATTTCTATTACTGTATGTCCCATGTTGCTTTTTCCTTGACAATTGTTGCACTGTAAGTGATATTGTTTCACTTCTGGATTTTGTTTAGGCTGGTTTGGGGGCTGCTGCTGAGGTTGGGAATGCTAACACAAACTAAACTGCTGGTTTTTCCCCAGGCATTTTGGGGGCATTTGGGTCAGTTTGGGAGTGAAAAGTCACCTAGAAAATTCAGTGTGGATTTGGAAAGTTTAGGAAGACCTGAGGACACATGAAGTCCATGGACCTCACCTTCCCCACTCCATTTTAAATAGCCCACATTAAGCACTTTCCAGTTACGTTAGTTTTCATGAGAGAGATTTGGCCACTTGCTTATCCACACCCATCAGCAAGAATGGGACTTATATGGATTAAGGGCCTTTGCAGACTGCCAGAAATAGTGCAAATTGAGTCCACTTTAAGGGTTAGGGTTAGTGCTAGGGAGTCACGGGAATTGGTTTTTTTCTGAGACATTGAGCCTTTTCTGTCAGAGAGCTCTGGTGCCACAATAAAATACAGTTCCCATGATTCCCTAACCTTAACCCTAAACCTAACCCTAACCCTTAAAGTGGGCTCAATTTGCACTATTTCTGGAAGTCTGCAAAGGCCCTTAGTTTGGATTGTGCTGATAATATGTGAAACCTAAAGTAAAAACCTGCAATATCTGTGTGTACCCAACTTCCAGCTCCAATTCCTTATGTCAATGTATCTTAATACATTAAAACTACCCTGAATTAGAAAGTCATGTTATAATTCTAGAAAACACTGTCATTTGGGCTTTGGCACCAAAGTACTTTGGTACATTTCGAAGGACAGGTTCAAATGAAAAGGGCCCAGTCCAACCTATAACACGAGCTTTTTGACACTGAATAGCTATCTTACATTCTCCCAACACATACAGCAGAGGTGAGAATCATATGGTCTTATCAACTGTATTGGGCTGCAGCTCCCAGCTTTCTTCACCACTGGCTATGCTGGTTGGGTCTGCTAGGAACTGCAGTCAACAATATTTAGAGGGCCCCATGATTACCATCTCAACATATAGCATGATTTTTGAGCAATCTTGGTTGTGATTATAAATATCATAGTATTAGCCCATCCTGCTTACAGTAAATTAGCAAAGGTCTGTAGGAGATAAAATGATGTAAAAGAAACTACAAAGCTCATGGTTAATTCAGGGCTGGATTGGATGGCCCTTGGGGGTCTCATTTTCTATGTTTAAAACTGTGCATTTGCAGAGCAGTTTGTAAAAGGCTTTTTAGTTCTGCTTCACTGGAAAGATAGCAAGGAATGTTGTTTTCCAGCCTTGGAGGTAGACTATTTCACAGCCAAAGAAATAAAATTGATGGTGAAAGAACAAAACTGAGATGCTAAATTTGTTTGCGCATGACAAGAAGAAGTATACTGTAATCAGGAAAGGAGGGGGTTGGAGTTATATCCTGTAACCAATGAAAATGTTGAATTATGCATGTGTTAATATAATTATAAACCAGCTATGTAGGATGGTTTATCAGGATGATGATTAGCTGTGGGAGGGGCTCTCCAGTCATAGGACATACCTGTCTTGAGAAGCACATTGACGTAAAATATAAACTTTATTTTCTTGACTTCCAAAAGGGTCTCCATTCCTGTTTATCCACAACATGTCAGCCACATACAAATACATATACACACTTGACCCCTCCAAACACCATTCCAATAACATAACCACTACACCCCATTAAGCTCATCTGAGGTCTTTGAAGAGAATGACATCTATTTTACAAGACATGTAGGTAAACTACTCACAATTTCCATACTTTTCACAAATGACAAAAAACCCTACTTCATTATATATATATATATATATATATATATATATATTCCATGCCTTTCTATTCTAAACAGTCTTTTAGGAAATGGCTTGCATGATGGAATAAAAAGCATGCTTATCAAAACTGCAGATGACACCAAATTAGGAGGTGTAACTTAGAGGACAGGATCAGAATACAAAATGTCCTTAACAGATTAAAGAGCTGGGCCAAAACTAACAAAATGGATTTCAACAGTGAAAAGTTTAAGGTGCTACACTTAGGCAGAAAAAGAAATGAAACATACAGATATAGGATGACACCTGGCTTAACAACAGTACATATGAAAGGGATCTATGAATCTTAGTAGACCACAA